CCCCTCCCCCATCCCCAGGGAGGGCTCTTTGCGGAATGGGCATCGCCGCTGCCAGCTCCGTATCAGTCTGGCCGCGATCCCGGCGGGCAGCACCTACCTCTCGCCCACCTGCATAGACCTTACGCCGAAAAAACGAGCGTCTTCAGCAAGCAGAAGCCGCCGACGAGAAGCACGTGCTCGCCTTCAAAAGCAACCGGGGTAGCGGGGGGGAGGAAAGCTGGAAGATGAGAACGTCAGGGACAGGCGGGATTTGAGACGTAGAAAATTGCTTGGCTCGGTTCGCTCTGTGCAAGGGTGGAGAATATCCCAGGGAGCGCTCAGCACATGCCTTTCCCTGCAGTTGGAAATTGGTCACAGTGTGCATTGGCAGGGTTTTGTTGTTTGGTGGATAGAGGTTTTTTTGGTTTGGATTGGGTTTTTTTTGTCTTTTTTTATTAGCGTTGTTCGTGCTAAATGCACTCTCAGCTAGGTCAGGACCGCGTTAGCAGGTTAATTTCAGCCTAATACACTTTACAGCTCCACAAGTGAGAGTGCGGAAATCCTCTAAGCGCTGACCCAAGTGGATTAAATTGTAGGATCCCAGCCTGACATCGTAAATTACAAAAGGTAACCGTGAAGTGCTGTTGTCAGCGTCCCTTTCTTATGGCCGAATTAGGTCCCCGTCCTGCCACAACACACGCGTAACCTGGACTGGTGAAGTCAACAGAGCCGGGCGCTCGTATAAGGTTACACCAGCGATTTCGCTTTAGCTGCAGAAGAGGCGAGCAACTGCAGCGCTGTCAGGTGTAACGGGTCAGAGCCCAGCCTTCGGCGTCAGGCCCATGCAAGGAAACTACAGACAGATGGCAATAGGCTCAAACCCACTTCTAATTAATGTAAGGAAATACCGGAGGTGTCCTCACTGAGCAAATGAGCCTTACGTGCCCAGGAGACCGAGTATGAAAATCACGTATGAAAAAAATAATCCTGATATGTCCAAAAAAGAGATTAATATCTGAACCTGAACTTCCATACCCGAGACCTCAGAAAATTCCAGTTTCAAGGTGCTATGGGCTCAAAAAGGTGACACCAATTGCTGATAGCCTTTGAGGTATCCTAAACTATTTCTATGAAAACAGGCAGGGGCTCTACATGTTGTATGTGCGTGGGGAACCTCAGTCTTCCTCCAAAAGCTCACTCTGGGCATATAATACTTGGGCTACACGGAGAGCAGGTTTGTGCAGCAAAGGTGCTTGCACCACTGAACTTAGCTTGTAGGGGCTGTGGACCATCACCTGAGACCACAGCCTCCCCACAGCACCAAAATGGGAGGCTGCGAGCAGCCAGGGACTGCAGGTGATGAGGCTGACCCCACGGTCAGGCCAGCCTTGGACTTTGCTGCCATGGCAAGCTGTGCCAGTTTCTGTTGGGCAAGGATAAGACACCCGGCCCCATTCCACTCTGCCACTGGTGGAGGTGGCCTCAGGTCTGCTGGAGGTGGGCTGCTCCCTGAACTGGGGCGGGGGGACAGAGAACACGGGTAATTTGGGCTCAGGCAGAGGGGGAGCGAAGCTGTTCTGACGTGTTTGGTGTTGCAACCCTGCCCTTATCTTTGTACAAAGAGTCCGGCCACACTCTGCACTCCTCTGTGAGCCCCCTTCTAAATCTGGGCTGTTCTCATGTGCCCACCTATTTTTTTTAAGACTTTTTTTTTTTTTTTAAGCTTTTAAAAAAGTTTTTCTTAATAGCCACACAGCTCACATGACCTCCTTTTGTGAGGAGCCGTTGCGGCAAGACAAAGAGGACAGAAGTGCCAGTGCACACAGTGAGAAAAACCTGGGGAGCTGCAGCCAACCTGAGCAGATCTCCATCCTGCCAGAGATTTTGGGGTCTCCTGTTGGGGAGAGGTTCCTTGGAAATAGCCCCATGTACTCCCATAGGAATCATGTCAGCCTGTTTCTGCTCACAAACTTGGTTCTTTCCCAGAAGAACCTGGCACAGTCCTGCTGAGGTCAGCCCAGAGCTGGATGGTCATCAGTGGAGCTACACGGGCCTCTGAAGAGCTCACTGGGCATCTGCTCAGCTGTCAGCTGGAAAATAGATATATTTAACAGTTGCAACCTTTCCCTGAGGACTTCTGAGTCTTTCATACGGGAGACAGCCACCATACCAGCTCATCCCTAACCCCTTCTCTCATCTTTTGGGCTTAGTAGCAGAAATCTTTATAAACTTGTGATGGGCCCTACTCCTCCCCAGGGTCTCCCGTAACTCCTTCCCACAGCTCTGCTTGGCACCACACTAAGACAAGCTGATGTTTTGTGGCTCGTGGCTTCCCCACACCAGTTTGGGTTTTGGCACGGTGTGTGAGTTCTTCCCAAGGGGCTGTTCTCAGCCCCGTCCTGGAGCTTTCCCTGTGGCCGCGGACTCAGCACAGGCGCTTCCAAGCCATCCTGCAGCAGGACATAACCAGTCCTTGCCTTCTCCTCCCGAAAGCAAAGCATCACCCAAAGGACAACACCGCTTCGTTGTCACCGTGAGGACGCGCGTGCACCGCGAGGACGTGCGCAGCCACCCACTGCTGTCAAACCCAACAGCTTCAACCCTTCCAACTAAAGCAGCACGGCTGGTCCCTTGCAGTGTGGCAGGGGGTGACCTCCCCGGGGCACACGCGTGTGCAGGGACAGTGCAGGCGTGTTCTCTTAACGTGC